TGTTATGGAGTTATACACTTATTTATAACTACTAGTTATATTACCAAACTATAAGTGTATACCTATAACTTCAATGATTTTCATTTTTGATTAACAAATATTGAAATATATTCATTGGAATTTTATTTTCTTACTTATTTAAATTTTATTTCAAATGATTTATGTAAAAATGTTGTTTTTATTTAGCAAATCAATGGTTTTCATAAATATTTTACCACATTGTTACTTGTATGTTTATGAATGTCAAACAGAATCTTAATACTATGCAATATTATTGGTTAAATTAAGGTTAAACGTATACAGCTATATAAAAAAAATATACAATTACTGCAATATTCTTTATTTCTTTATAAACTATAATATGTAATATTGTAATAACCTTCTATAGCTACTTAACTTAACTAAACATTATTTTAAATTCTACAATTAATTTGAAATACCCATGATATTTAATTTAAGATTTAATTAACTAAACATTTAAAAAAATTGATTTGTAAATTGTGTGTTTATTTAAAAAAATGTTTTGTTAGATAACACAGGCAACAAATTAAATATTTATCACAAGCATATAATTATTTAATGTTTAGTAAATAATTGATTACTGTAAGCAATTGGTCCTTGCAACATCTTGTAGTCTTGGGTAGATATCTACATGATGGAATATTATGAATTGTTTCTTTTTCATGCAATGTCTTTTAAATTGAAACGCAAGCTTATCCACACTCTAAAGGTTAAACAACATATTATCATTAATTGAATTATTTATTCTAGAAAATTATTTAAAAAGTGGTTTGAATAAAAACAAAAAATTAGTTTACTTACTTTAAGCTGGAAAGTGGAAATTCTTACACCGGATGGTTTCTCGATTCTGTGAATTATTCCGCGTTTCCCATATACACATAATTATTACATTCACTTATTGTTCGATTTATTAATAAACGTAAAGTACAATAAGAACGTTTTATACGAGTTATGTCAGCAAAATAAAATAATACCTGATACGTTTTAGATATAGGTAATTAATATTTACAGACATTTGATCTTGTGTTGTTTAGAAGTCAATCGTATCCTCTATCATTATTTATAGTTTTATAACTTTGAATACATTTCAGTGTGATAATTTAATACATAATATAAATATACACCTAATATAGTTTATTATACTATTGTCTGCTGGAAATTAAATCATAAGATATATAGTCAGACGGGTATTATATAGTCATCGATAAAAATGTTTTACAATACATTTTTCACATAAAACCGTTTAGTGGAATATCCAAAACAGTTGAATGTGCAGCTATAGTAGGTACCTATTGTGCCTGCTACACGGGTTAATAATAATAATTTAATAATGTATACCAATTACCAAAACAGTTGTATATTAGGTACAATATATAACGCATAGCAGCATAGGTACTTATGAACAAAAGCATAGAGTATAACGGAACGTTTTATTTTCTTTTTGAGAACAACGGCTTGTCTTTTTTTCTTTAATACAATATTCTAGGTTAGGAAACAATAATAATTGGCTAATTAATTATATTTCTATAGGAAGGTATTCGATGCACAAAAACGTGTATATTCACAATTCACGACTAAATTAACTAGGTACCTATACAATATAATCATGGTTAGGTGCAATCATTTTTTTTCACAGTTTAATTTGACTCAAATATATTTACTCACAATATAAGGCTAACTATCATTATACGCGTTTAAAAACGTACAATCGTATAAACGTATTATAGGCGTCTAGGTGGAAATTTATAATTAATAATACTACTTTATTTTTGTTTATTTTTACGCTTTCCTACGTTTACTTTAAACACTTAATTTTTTTGTTATTAAAAATAATATAATATAACATAATATTTAATAATCTGTGTAAAACTGTACATGATAATACGCAAATAAGGAAATTGGCAGGTATTCACAATATTATAAACCCAGGCGTACGTAAACAATTAATATACGTACCTACTTATAATATAATACCTAATTTATTTATTTAAATTAAAATATATCTAGTGGTCAAAAGGTACTATTTTGATATATTAAATTAACAAGATATCAATTTATTTTCATAATATTTAATAGGGTGTTACACAATGTGTTAAACGTCAATTTACCAATTTTCACATTTTAATGTATATAGATAGCTATAAGAAAAACATAACATTTTATGTCATACAGTATAATAATATGTGGATAGCATGTGGCAATGCACACAAATACACAATTTAAATATATAATATATATTGTATATATAGGTACTAAAATAATAAAATAACTTACAAGTGAACTATAATTAGTACGTCATTATAATATCTGTATGTATGACGTAATATGAAATAATTTTTTTTTATACCTAGTTAATATAGTTTGGTAATAATAAAATTTAAAATATCAAACGATATTGTTTTTGAAGTAATGAATATTGGAACAAAATAACATATCGTCGCTCTTCTGCTATCAGTATAAAATATTATGATTTCATTTTTATGAACTAGCAATGGAACCATTTATTGAATTCTACACTATGATAAATATTCTAGATTTAAGCAAAACAAACCCAAGTGATTTGAATAAGATCTCGTTATCTCATATCACATAGAAAATATCAAGTGTTGGCACTAAACTATCTATAGTCTTATGAGACGCATAATGAAAACTTTAGTAATTTAATTTTATACAGTCCTTGGGTGATTATTTGGTACCTATATTGAAGTAAATTTCGTAACGATAAGCCAGACTTGCGAAGAAATCAGTGGCCGAATAATTTATAGTAGGTACCCATCCACCACCTAGATGCAGGTAACACAATATTATTATAACATATAACGACCGTCGTTGTTAGTGCGCGACGCACATTCACACGTACATAAGACAATTGAAAATAATATTGTAGTGAGTAATAACCTACCTCAAGCTACTGTACATGATAATTTGTGTATATTAACTAACCACCGTATCTCTCCGCCCACGCTTTACTTATTACGGCTCATTGAACGTTGATTAATTAAAGTCAACAAATAAATATGTATATTCCTATAAAGTATATCATATATATATATATATTAATCGTACCCGTATACCGTTAGTCCACAAATATTATATAACATGTATATTGTATATTACAATATTATAAGTGAAACACTGGAACCTCGACGGTGATTTTTCAAAATGTATATGAGAGATTTAAAATATGAAATAAAAACGATAGTGATGGGTCTATTAGAATGCAATATTTTCTAGTTGTATAAATATAATTGTATGAAATTCATTAATTTGCAACGATTCACCCCGACTGAAAAATAGTTTCTCGTTTTTAACAACTACAGCAAACTTCGATTTAAAACGATATTATACTTGCATACGTGAGTCATGTGAGTTACGGATTTCACTAGTAAGTAAATTTGAATAAGACGTATAATAATATATTATGCACCTATGTAAATATGCTGTGGAGTTTGGACGTTGAAATTCAGTGTGGACAGAATTTGTTTCATAAAAATATATTGTATTGTACATTCATAAAATCATTTTTTCAAATCAGAATTTGATAAAACGAGTTTTTTATTTGCATGCGTAATATCCAGTACACCTGTTGTTTAGACGTCCCGCGTGGCCGCGTGTAATTGGGTGAAAGTATATAGAGTCGAAGTTGTTTACGACTGCGGTTTACTGCATATTGTACCTATGTTTATATATACACATCAATATACCTTCACAAGTCGAGTAACTACGGAATTTGTGTATTCGGATAAGTTCTCGCCTTCATGACCTGAACCAGACCAATTGTATGCACAAAAAGATACTCGGTTGAAGTATACAATTTCTTTCGCGTATAATATTTAGCGGAAGAACTTTAACGCCTCCCGTACTCGTTATGGTCATATTTAATTATACGCACAGGTAAAACGCCGTGGATATACTAATTGCAGGAGGTTATTGTTGTTGTCAGCTGATAAGTTCATAACCAATTCTCAATAAACATTTCTTTTGACTTTTTTTCCGGCATATTATTGGGTATTCCGGTAGAACTACTACTACTACTACTACTACTACTACTTCTACTGAATTTAGTAAGAACATTATCTGTGCTTAAACTTTTCGATATTTGATTTTTCCAGCAATAAATGGATATGTGAAATATCACAAGTTAAAAATGCTCATATATCGCTTGAAAATTAAAACATCGAATAAAAGCCGATGGGTTAATATTCGCTCTAATATCGAAGCAGACAGCACTCCATTATAACTATTACTGAAAATTTGCTAAGTCGTGCGCATGTACGACGGAGATAACGAAATGTGCATGGGTAGCGTTCTCTTAAACATTGTATGGAAATACTTTAGAAAAATATATAAAATAGGTGAGTAATATTTTAATCATCATTCATCAGTGTTATTTCGAGGGGAGGGTGAGTGTACTCTATAAGTTTTCAAAATTCAAATCAGCACACTCATAATTTATGATTAATGATTTCTTATTTTGTATAAACAAAAGTAAACTATTATGAATTGCTCAATGCCATAATCGTCCATAATTATTAAATAGTTAAATAGTATAATATGATTATCGAATGATGATATTTTAGGGTATGGTGGAGTGGATCATAGTAAATAATATTATATTTATTTCCACTTTAAAATTCCTTTATTATTAAATTTAGGTTTTCCTCTGCACTAGCTATTTTTGAAACTTTATGTCATCAGAATTATTATATTATAATTTATAACCAAACATGATAAAATACCTACATTTTTCTCAAAACAGAGTTAAAATATGTCTATAGTGTTATTATGGAAGGCGCGGCAAGATATTGTTTTACCGAAATCGTAATGATGGCTAACTTGGTATTTGGTGCTGCGGTGTACCACCTTTACCGCGGTAACCTCTAACCGCACACCGAAAATAGCGAGCAACGCTAATGTACTCTTGTAACTTGTATAAATATATCAATATTATGTCATTGACGTGTTCATCGTTGTTTCAGGTGCTATACTTGTTGCGGAAAATGAGCAGGAAAACCGTGGACGCTGTTCCGGCACTCCGATCAGTGCTGGTTACGTCGTGTGAGACGTCTGCCGGACTGCAGCTTTGCGACCGGCTAGCGGCCTCTGGTTTCCGTGTTTTCGCCGGCCACAAGCCGGATATCCGACCGGACTCGGCCGAGTCGTCCGATCGAGCGCAGCCGTCCGGCCCGTCATCTGGGGCTTGCGCCCTCCTCCGGTCGCGCGTCAAGCAGCGCGAATCGGCCGCGGCGGACGTGGAAAGGGCACCCGGAGGTATCGTGTTCGTGCCTTTGGACGTGACCCGCGAGGATTCACTGCACGAGGCAGTGGTCACCATAAAAAGGCATCTGCCTGCCGGTGAAGATGGTCAGTAAATCGCTATATTTGCAGATATACTCTCGAAGATCTAAATTTTAAACTTTGATCGAAAACGAATAGTAATAATATTTCGACTGTAGAGACACCGGGGTATCTACTTAATAATTATTAAGGTCCACTGAAGGTTGTGTGAATGCCTACTGGTAGTATAACATAAACTTGGTATTGACTACTTATACCCAGGTAGAATAAAAATGTATGACCTACCTACTAGTAGATATAAAATTCTATAGATTTCCTATACAGTATAAATCTAGTACATTAATGTGAAATATATCGGGTAACAAAGTTATTTTTTAAAAATAACATAAAGTAGAAGCTATAGGTAATACTCATAACAGTCATAACTATAAGTCATTAAACTCCAAGTAGGAATTAAATTGATATTAACGAAATAATGAATCTAAATCTGTTTTTAACATTTAAATCACAACATTCCATGCAACACATTATACAAATACAATTAGGTACTATTAACATTACCTACTCATAAGTCTTTATGTTATAAGTCAAAAAACGTTTTTGGGCAATTATCAAATAATTTTTTGTCGTTTTTAGAATGTGCTTTATTTATATTTGTTTAATTTAATTGTGTATATCATTATTGGTGATTCACATAAGATCAGAGATTCGTAGTTATGTCAGTTGTATGTTATCGTATATAGATAATGTCTACAAAATAACATTTTTTTGAATATTGGCTATTTTCCTATTCAAAAAGTATATATTTTTTAAGATTCAAACACACAACAATTGATTTTAGTATTGCTGTCCTAAATGTACGTATGGTTAATAAATCCAACGAACGCATGCCATCAATGATTAATGGGATTAAAAAGTTAGAAGTTGTAATATAGTATTACGAAATAATAATATTGTGTTGACATGAAGTTAGTTAATTAATAAACAGATATTATGGGATGGGTCAGTGACCATCACTACATGCCCATAAACTACACATTTTATAACTACACAGTATACTAGCATGCCGCTCATTATGCCATTAACATTTTATATAATAATAGTAACGTCTTGTACGAAGAATCAACGTAATTCTGAAGCAATAGGCGAACGTTATGAATTCCGTTTAAAACAGAATCTGTTACCTGGATATCTGATATCCAACCGGAAATGTTACACGAATGTGTTACCCTTGCCGTCCCACCTGAGCATAATATACCAATATACCCAGTGTTCGGAACGTTCACTAAAAAAATGAACTCGTTCACGTTCACGTTCAGTACTTAAAAAAGGAACTCGTTCGCGTTCACGTTCCTGTTTTTTTCAAACGAACGTGTTCACGTTCACGTTCATTCAAAAAATGAACGCATTTATTGGGCGTTCATTTAATTTTTTTTTCTCAGTTATTACTAATTAAATTTAAATTCGATATCATAGGAACTATAATGGAAAATATTATTATAATATGATTAATTAAAATATTTTAAAAATATATTTATTAAATGGTAAATAAATTAAACTTCTTAATAATCGATTAAGTTCATTAAAAATATAAACGGCGTTCACGTTCACGTTCTATTTTAAAAATACGAGTGACGTTCACGTATCGTTCACTATTTATGAACGTGAACGCGTGAACGTGCGTTCATGAACGACGTTCTTTCCAAACACTGAATATACCTACTATACATTCATACTTAGTAGGTACGTTAAGGCGGAACAATTGCGTATAAAGTTATACTGTAGATTGCTGAATGCGCGTTGCACATATTATTACGTACTTCCACGTCTTTTAGCTTCTAATATTAGAACGTACAGGTTTGTCGGTTTTATCCACTTTTTCGTATTCCTTAACTTCGCAGAAAACGCACATGAACATTTAATAGATTTAGACAACATAACTTCGTGCCCTAATATGTTTGTTGTTCGTTTACGAGAAGGTAATTTTAGTTCTAAACAAATAATAAAAGTAAATCAAAATTACTTATTACGATAACTAAAAGTACCAAGTACTCAGTTATTTGTCGTAGAGTAACTACACGATGATTATTTTGTTTAAGTAGGTACGTATAATCTGCAAATCATAAAAACGTTACCAACGGAATGTCGAAAACTTTGCAGGTATTTACGAAAAATTGGTAGGTAATAATGTGTTTCTTATGAATATATATGTGAGCGCACAAAGGTATAAGTGTGCATTTTGACATGACTTGATGTGGACAAATGGTGTTGTGTAATATATAAAATTATACTCACAGAAGCGTTTAACTGAAATAATATGTCAAATTTGTACAATAGAGATTTTCGTGTTCTGCATTCACTTGGCTTTTGAATAATAATTGATAAACGGCCATGAAACGAAAATACCTCGAAAACTATATGCCTACACATAATACGACAACACAGTGTTTAGCTGAACCGATTTTTAATTTTTAACATGACACCTTCCTACAACAGTAGTACAACAGTGATGTATTTAATTCATAATAATATATACCGTTGTGCAGGTAAAGTCGCAATGAGTAGATATTATAAGTTAAGGCATATTATTTTACTCGGTTCAAGGTCTCGGGTGCGAACATTGGCACAGTATCGTATTAAAAGCCTATACATTATAATAATAATTTAACCTTCATTTTTGTACACAAAACAACCTACATTTAATTTATATAATATTATTAGTAAATTTATTTTCTTTATCAAACGGATTTCCGTTTAAAATTGCATCATAATACTATAGACGAGTACATAGGTACAATGGTACATACGGTAAAATACTGAACTTATTGAATTCGTCTGGAAAAAAATATATGTTATTAAAAATACGAATCACGAAGTCATGAAATCATAATATAGAGTAACTATCTGAATAAACAATATCATTTTTTTTATTATTTCCTATGGTTATTGTATTTTAGTTACGATTTTTAAATTCATTAAATTTAAATGAAACGACAAATTATTATAAAATAAAAGTGATTACGATGACGATACAATGAATTAAAACAATATTATTAACATTTTTGTAAAAAACAACCGGGTATTAAATTATTATATTAACCTATGTTTTTCAATTTTCGTAATAAGTATACCTTAGAGCATACACAATAACATTTGTATTAATATCCTGAAGATATAGGACATAATATCTAATGTGCCAAGGACATCTTCTGAATATATTATTTAATTAAGATGTATTTAACAACGAATATAACATAAAATACATGATTAACAGTATTAAAAAGTCTATATTAATCATGCACATCTCAAAAATGTGGTAGAAATATTGAATGATCCGATTTAGGTTTCATATGGATGTAAAATAATGGCACACTCACTGAATGTATCTAGGTTTTATAATTTACTAAAAATAGTTTAAAAAATCTTCTAAGATCCAATCAATATATTGTCATAATTATTTAAAAACCATTTATAAATTATTTTAATTTTAATTAGGTATATATAGGTAAGTAATACCAAATAAAATGTAAATGTTTATGTAATTATTCATATTATATTTAAAATGTATGATTTAAAATTAAATTACCAATGACTATAGTTAAATGTTACTACTCGTAATACGATTATATAGTTAATAATAGTTATGAAATGGAAAAGAAAGTATAGGCACTAAGAGTTCTTACTATACTGCAGACTGCTTAGATTTAAATGATAGATACTCATTAAAGTCATTATTCATTACTCATTAGTATAATATGTTATTATTGTATGTGCCTAAACAAACTATATACTTCAAACCCATTTAAACCCGTAGATATTTACCAAAAAATATTTAATTGCTTGAAAGTGCATTTTGTATTTTAATTATACATAGCGAAATAATTACTGTATTAGTGTATATTATGTTGTACATAATCATTATAATTCTGATTTTTATATTATGGTATATTCATTATTACAATATGATATTATATATCATTTACCAATTAGTTAAATTATATTTTTAATTTAAGCAGTTTGGAATTTTTATACTTGGTAATATTACTCATACTAGTATCTCAATTTATTGATCTCATATAAAGTGCTTATAATAAATGTTAATTTATAGTTGAGAATTTCGTAGGGTTCATTTTGTTTTATATTTTTAGTTTTACATTATATTATATAACTTTATTTGTGTATAAGTATATTAATTAAAATAACGTTTTAAGTTATGACTGTATAATATGATACGTACTTAATTCATAATTATTTTATGAAACCGATCTCAAATAAAAGTAAAATATAACTCTTTTTTTACGCATCTAAAATTAATATAAATCATAATTAAACGCGATGTTTCACAGTGGGTACCGGTCGGCTGTATCTAATTTGATAAATAAAAAACTCAAACTAAACCACAGATTTCCTAGATGGGTATAGACGATTATAGTATACCAACCATAACCTACATATTTGGCTAAAACAAACCCGACCATGTTATTCGTATCCGCAAAGTGAGAGTAGAGACTATCTTAATAATTTTTGTCGTCAATAGAAAAATAGAGTCGAACGCATCTTAAATTTTAAACACGTCGTTCTTGCCTTCTATCAGATACGCACTGTCCTTGTAAATAGGTACGTTAAGTGTTTTTATTTTTTATCGGTGAAATCAAACGCATAGAATATCAATATAATCGTATTTTAAACACTATTAAAATTTTAATTTTGATATCGAAAATTCTCGAAATAGTTCAATGGTTACATACATACTACTTTAACATATAGCTAGTTACTAACACTGGATCACACAAAATAAGCACTTTAATAAATTACAATTATTACTGTGCACCGTAATATTCACATATATAAATAAGCAGTAGATATGTATAATATGTATAAATTAGTATTCTTATACGTATTGAATGGTATGCATCATTATAATAATATTTTTTTAAACTATTTGATGGAAAACAATCGTTTTTCGAAAGAGATATTTTTGCATTAAAATCGTACTGTTTTTTGTTCATATTAAAAGTCATCATATAACTGCGTAATATAACTATAGATATAAATCGAAGAGCACA